TTTAAGATGTGTGGTTTTGCCGATCCGTAGACTTGACAGCCGTAGTCAAGCCTGGACCGGACAAGGGAGATGTACAGGTGGAGAAGGTGTTTTGAGTCCCCGCCCCACTCCGGATGCGATAGAATTTTCAAAGCGTTTAATGCTTTCTGGCACCTCACACGAAGGTATTTGATGTGTGGTATGAATGTGAGTTTTTTGTCAAATATAACGCCGAGGAAACGAGCCTGGTCCTGGACGGGAATCCTTTCCCCGTATAGTGTCAAATGTTGACGGGGAGAACTTGAAACCGTTCTTGTTTGCCCACGTCTCGAGTTTGTGCAGCTGCTTTTCCATAGATCTCAAATGAGGATTTTTCGAACGGCAGCATATCAAAAAGTCGTCAACGTATAACGAGCTATCTATGCTGTTTTGGAAGGTTTTTACGATGGTATCTATTTTGATTTCAAATAGGAGAGGAGGAGAAACAGGGTTCCTGCCATGAACTTCCTATCAAATTCAAGGAGGTTTCAAGGAGGTTTCAAGGAGAAATTTTTAAAATTCAAGGAGATTTGGTCAAGAAATTCATGACGAAAGCCTATTTTCGATAAGCCTACACTTGTCCAAAAGGAATCATATTATCATATTCATAGTTTCGATTTACCCCAGGGTGACTGCCAACCCGGCTTCTCAATTTTCGAAGGGGGGGGCTCATCCATTCTCCAGGGGCATGTTACATGACAATGACAGTGCATGCTCCATTTATATATTATATATAATATATACACACACGCATGTAGGTACATTATATCCAGTCAGCAACATGTCAGTGTGGCACTGGGATACGCTGTGACTTCGGTATTTCAGTCTGTTCTTATTTATATTTTCCGCTCTTCATATTCGCCTATATAAACTATATAAAAATGAATCTAGCTTTGAGCCTGAAAAAAGGCCTAGAACCAGAATATCAACTGTCAAGAACCAGTTTGGGTGTCAGGGTTTATATAATAAACGTGAGAGACAAAAATTATTACTCTAGCTCAAAGTAGAGTAATAACATGAATGGCTCAAGTAGACTATTCAGTGTGAGAGGTGTAAGAACTGTCGGAGGGCAAGATGCAGTGACACTGAAAATCTGCTAATCTTAAACAGAAAGCTAAAATATATACAATACATATAATTTACCATCACCTACGCAATGAAACGGGAACCCTTTAGTAAAAAGAACACGGCTTACACGGTTTGAGTATGATGGATCCAGATTCCACACAAGGACTGCACCAACGAGCGCCTTGCAAAGAGATCTAGATCTAGTAGTAATCAAAATTCTGAAAAGTAAAATCTGCTTCCAACTTCAGGTTTTTTTGGTCATCCGGTGTTGCCTTTACACAAGTGACAGCACAGGACAAACGATTTATTTTCATGGCGACACAGCGTTTGTAATGCAGAACCTGCATGTTACAAATGTGGCGTTATCAGACTACTATAGGCCCTACCGGCAAATTTCTGGGTGGTAACAAAAGCGAATGTAGATCTTGATTTTCCCGATCGAGCTTCGGTATCGCACATACTTCCACTAGTTGCCGCCATTACCGCATGTGCGCGTGTAACGTACTCTCAGGCCGGGAAAGGCCGCATGAATATTATATCACAATCGCGACCGGCAAAAATCAACTCAAGGACGTTATCGGACTTGGTTTTCAAATATTCGAGAACTTTTATGTATTTCCCCAGGTCTTTCACGGGGCAATTTACAGATTTCTTCACATTCCCGTTGCATTCCGGATTTCGGCGACTTTTTTCAAATTCCTGGGTAATTCCAGCCCCCCCCTGGCAGTCACCCTGAACACGTGTTCCTGTCCGATCTGGCAAAATTCAAGGAGTTTTCCAGGAGATTTTTCCTTGAATGCAAATTCAAGCAGTTTTCAAGGACTCCCTGAATTCAAGGAGTCCGTGGGAACCCTGGAGAAAGGATGCTCCCCTGGGGGACTCCTTCCTCCTGTTGGTGGGGGTGACATTTACCCAATATAAACACATACACACATAAAGAAGAAAAATAACACATCAGAACAATAACAGCAAAAAGTTAACACACCAACAAAGTAAATCACAACAAAGAGGGAATAATAACAGAGAAAAAGCAATATAGAAATCTAAAAGGATGTAATGTGGTAACATTCTTCACATGAACAAAATAACACATCAACGTGCTGTCAACGTGGTGTCAACGAGTGAGAAAGTGACATATTCTTCACATGAACAAAATAACACATCAACGTGATGTCAACGAGTGAGAAAGTGACATATTCTTCACATGAACAAAATAACACATCAACGTGATGTCAACGAGTGAGAAAGTGACATATTCTTCACATGAACAAAATAAC